CACGCAACACAAGCAAGCCATCGGCAAGAAAGGCGACGAGGAGAAACAGTAGGAAGCAGACAGCCATGCAAGGTGCAGGGATCATCGCTGGCAGGACTGAACAGCACGCGACCCAACTCAATGGTGTTGTTCACCGGGCAAAAACCCGTGCTCAGAGCAATTCCCCAATAAGTTGGTTGTGCATTGGTATCCTTCAAACAAACAGTAGTTTGTGTAGCATATGCTTATTGCAGGGTGCCTGTGAGCAAGTTCATAACAGAGTGTGCAATCCGTTGAAGTGAATTTTGAGTCGCGATGATGAACACCAAAACATCGTCCGGGTGCAGGGCAGCTCTGCCTGCACCAAGGCAGCACCCTGCACAGATGCAGCATCAAGTACTATGAACTACCGAGCCTTGCAACACAATCTTGCAGAAGAATGTTCAACCAATATGAGCCAAGGCAAGTCAGCTTGGCCAAGCCCAACCTGATTTTAACAGACACAAATTCAGGCAAATTCGAATTACAACATCCAAACATTTGTATTTGGAGAGACTGGCCTTGCACCCCACCATCTCAGTCTTCATCCTGTGGTTCGGGTTTCTCTGCAGCAGCCGGCACAGGAAGTCCTTGCACTCATCGCTTATTTCTCCCAGTGGCCCGTCCGTGTGCTCCCGGCTGTCTGGGAACGCCAACTCACCCTGGCGCTGGCCAAGCATGGGCTGGCCCATCGCCGAGTCGTCAGCAACCTGTGCAGCAGTGTGCAGTATACAGTCGGTCCTCTTCTCTCTTTTCTGGAATCATTTTTTCCGTCAAACATTTGCCATATCACTTGCATTGTAATTTCTCTTGCTGAATTCATAGGTTTCTTGTCCAAAAGCTGAAGGACTTCTTAACACGGTATGCAGCATAGATGAACTCTATAAATTTCCACGCCAGACTATCGAAAGGAGCCTGCGGTTTGAGCAAAGAGCCAGCAGCATCGATGGCAGTGTAGCCTTCAATCTTTAATTCTTCTATTGCTAACATTACTGTACAGCATCAGTAAGCTGTTGGAGAGGTCCACGCTGACAACAGAAAGCCGACCGCAAGACACCGCACTGCAGTAGCCCATGAACGTGCAGAAAGATTGTTGACTGCAACTGTCAATATGCCGATGCAGAGCCATTGCACATAATGGGCAACATTGGGAACCCTACTTTTGTTGGCAAATTTGCCATGGGTCTTCCAAATGGTGACGTTGGAGCTTGTGTGATTGCATGGTTCACAACAGAAGCAGTGGAGGGAGTGGCGCACTGCTGAGCTATTCAGTTTACAAATAAAGTGCTTCAGCAATACTTCAGCAACATAAACAGTACATTCCAGCAGTATCTATGTACACAAATCTCCTTACGCTATAGTCGTACCCTTTATGAGTGCATCACAGGAAAATTTTGAGAATTATCAGTATTCATTTTCAGTTCTAAATTCACCTCTAAGATGGTGCAGTCATGGGCAAGCCGCCAGGACTTTGCCAGCCACACTTTTCGATCCGTTTGAACTCAGTTTGATACAGTCATAAGCCCTCTCAAGTTTCCCACCTCTGATGATGACGTGAGGGTTGGGGTGCTTTTGCCAAATGCTTGATTTCACCGCAGGCTGGAAACTGAATGCTGTCTGCCGTTCTGAATGCAGTAGGGGCATGTGACATAACCAGTGTGCTGTATTCCCACGTCATATCTGGGGTAAATTCATTCAGTCAGTCAAGCTTCCAACGCTCACAGGCCAGACTGCCTCCTGGCTTCATGTGGATGTTCACTTCCTGCAATTTTGAGTCTCGTACCTGCGCCTCCAATCCCTTGGTGCGCCACTGCACCACCACCTCCAGCCCAAACAGCATCCTAAACAGTCAGCAAACCCGGTGCCACTCAAAACTTGTCACACAGTCAACCAGCAAAATGCTTGTGCTCTCAAACAGCATTGGAGTATACCAAAGCAATTGAGCAGCAATGCCATCAAATGACAATCAATGGTCAAATACTCAACGAACAGCAGAAACAACAAGCAATCAAGAAAGAATAATCGATGATAAAACAATAAGCAATCAAATATTTCAATCTGTTACAAGGCTGGACAGCCGCACGCGCTGTGCATGTGTGGTGCTCAGATTAAAACAGTGTTGCAACATCATGCGGCCGGGCAGACTATCCAGATGGTCCTCAAGGCCCTGAGAGGTTCAATCATTTACTTGAAATTACAATCAGTAACCTGGAAGCAATGTCAGTCCATTGACAATTGAGCAGTGTCATTGAGTGTCTGACCAAGGTCCCGCCAAGACAGACACAAACCACAGCAGCACAACTATGCCAGGGCACACTGTACTTAATCCCACTCCTCTGCACGTCTGACTTTAGGCCGTTTCCCCTCCACAAAAACGCAATCAAAACCAGCACATTCCAAACCACAAATTAGTGCAAATGGTTCCAAAGGGCACAACCTGCATTATCTTAACAACACAATCAATTCGACCCCACAAATCATTAGTCATTAATTGACAATTCTTAAATTTAAGTACTAAGCATTGATCTATGATTATGCTAGTTAATTGTCAAGAACTGCATGTGTACTTGGGGGCCCACCGGAAGAGGCACACGCCACAGGAGTACATGTCCGCCAGGCCGCCGTTGTACTTAAGTCCACTCCTCTCTGCAGCCAGCACTTCTGGTGCGCAGTACCGCGCGGTCCCCAGGGCTGTCTTGGGCGCTGAGTGCCGTCCGCGCTGCTTGGCAAAGCCAAAGTCGCACAGCATGACAACAGGGTGCGGCTGTGTGTTGTCATCAAGGAGCAGGTGCTCAAGCTTGATGTCGCGGTTGGATACGCCGACCTTGTGGCAATAGTCCACGGCAGTTATGAGCTGCTGGAAGAGCCAGCGCGCCAGCGCCTCGGGCAGGCACCTGCGGGGATGCCGAAAGTCCAGCTGAGCACCGGCTGATCGGTCACGGCTGCGGAAGAACTTCTGTTTCTCTTGGAACAATGTCTGTGTGTCACAAACAGGTGGCAAGTGGACAGCATGAACGGCTGAGGGATAAGAAAATGTCCTTCGTGTACATGAGCCCATGTTCGTCTGCAAGGTGCAAGGCCCTCACTTTGCCTTTGAAAGGCAAATCGGAAAAAGGGAACTGAGCACCAGAAGGAAATCTCTCCTGGGAACCTGCCAGCTTGCACTTCACAAGAATGCCAGTGAGAAGCCACTGGACTGTACCTAATACGATCAAAGGGAAACACTACATGGAATTATCGAAGATGGACAGCGGGAAGAAGGAATTGAGCAATGTCTAGTTAAAAGCACATCTGCCAACATGTCACCAATGTGCTTGCACCGGCAAGGTAATGTATAGGCCACTGCACACCCAGACTGTTGACTGTCTGTGTGTGATTCACCTTTCTCCCTCAAAAACTGCGCCTGTCAAGCCTGCACTCTGACATACCAGGCGGTTTTGGATTGTCTTACCAACATCTACCACACTTTGATTATTGGCATGGTGATTGCACATTTGAGAAGAGTCTGGCGGAGCCCCAAGAGCACTGGTGGCACCCCAAGAGGGGGCACCAGATATACATTATGACATGACAAACATGATGAACCCTTCTGGCCGGGTGGCTGCAAAGCTGTGTTCTGGAAGGTGAAGAAGAACTTGCATCTGGCAATGGCAAGGGTTACATGACAGCAATAAGCGGGTAAGGGATATATAAGTCTTACATCTGTAAGGCTGCTTTCCTGTGTTTATGTTATTGAGACTTCCCTAGGTAGTGTTGTTCCAATGCAAATTCCACTGATCCTGTTTGTCAACGTTGCATGGCAAGACAGACTACTGCGCCCAACAGGCAAAGAGGTGTCCTTCCTGTTGCATGCCAGGACGTCTCACATCTTCAAATGGAAAAGCGATATGCCGGACAAGAGATCATCCACACCAACCGAGAAGGTCCATCTTCTGCGGTGAAGGCGATGGTTACCACAACAATTATTGCTCAGGAGGTGGTGCCAAATGCACAACTTGTGTTTCCTTCTGTCGAAAAGACGTTGCAATCCTTTCAAGTTCCTTTCAACTAGACAATGCGGTGCCCTTGCACCATGTAGGCGATGTGGGACACGACTCCTCATCAGCCCTCCACCATTCAGCCGTCCCTACCCATTCCAGGGCCCATCCCCCCGCATTCGCCCGCCTCCCGCCGATCAATCACGCGCCGCACGCCGAGCCTATCCGCCCAATCCATGCCTCACGGTCAGACGTGCCCCTCGCTTCCACAACAAGGCCAGCGCCGTTCGAGCCGCACAGGCAGGCGAGCGGAACAAGGGAACATTCGGATCACCCGCTCCCGCCGTCGCCACCGCGATGCCGGGCCGAAGCTCCAACTCGCGAGGGCAGACGCGCTGCGAAAGATTCCGCTCGCGCCGATCACTGCCGCCGATCGTCCCCCGACGCTTGCGCCCGAACGCCCGCGTTCGCACCACCCCAGCGTCCCCCTATTGCTTGCGCCAGCATTGCCCTCTGCCCCCTCCTGCTTCCTGCTGGCCCTCACCCCCCTTCCGCCTGTCGCGCCCCCAAGCAGCCTTCCGGCCGCCACCCCCATCCCAAACCCTCGGCAGCCACTGGCGCCACCCGGATCCACCCACACGGCAACCAGGGGCCAGAAACGGAAACAATTGCCTCTCCCCCCAACCCCCTGGTGTGGAAAAGAGCCTCAACCACACCTGTTTAGAGGGGGTGCCCTTGCATGACCTGTTTCTCTTTGTAACAATCATACCCCCTTCCCCGTAGGCGCCCCCCCACCCCCACCCCACCCCCCTCCCTCGTTCTGGTTACCATTGAAGTGCTCGACGAACTTCAGGCACTTCATTTGATGTCCACAGCAGAACGAGGGTCCGCTGGTCCCAGGCCCCTCCCCCCCTTGCGCATTGAAGTGCCTGACGAGCATCAAGCACTTCGCTCGACATCCACCGCCCAACGTGCTTTCTCTGGTCCCTTTACAGGACTGGCCTCCCTCAAAGCCCGCTGCCAGCCGCCGCAGCATGTCGATATCCCGACTTGCAACCCAAACATTGCTCACGGCAGCAGGGGCGCATGCCGCCAAGGCAGACCCCCCCCCCTTCCGCAACTCAACACCGGCCCACTGGGGCCCCCCCGGCCCCCCTTCCCAGTTCCCATTCAAGTGCGTGACGAATTTCATCATCTATCCGCAGCACATCAGAGGGTCATTGGTCTCTCTAAAGGACTCGCCTCCCTCCAAGCCCGCCGCCGCCCGCGGCCGCAGGTCGAGATCCCGATTCAGAACCGCCCCATTCACTCGCTCACACCCGCAGGGACGCATGCCGCCCAGCCAGAGCCTCCCTCCACAGCTCGGTGCCGGCCCACCCGCATCCCAGGGCCACCGATTCGTTCGGGCTGCGCTCCAAACCCCAAAGGCGCCCAAAGCACTCCGTGCCGATACGCAGGAAAGAAAAAAGATCCAGCCAGGCTTTCCACTCGCCTGTTGCGCAGCCTGAACTTCAGCAGCGCTCCCCCCCTTCCCCCGCACCCGCCCCGCAGTTCAGCCCAATGCACTGGCGCGTTCAAACCCCACAGGCGCGCCAAAGCACGCGCCCCCGACAAACATCGCCCCAAACGGGCAAGCAACAGGACAAAAGATCCAGCCACGCCCCCCCCCACTCGCCTGTTGCGCTTCACGAACTCCAGCAGGGTGCCCCCCGCCACGTAGTTGAGCACGATGCACAGGTGAGTGGCGCTGAGGCAGGCCTCCCGGAACCCCACGATGTGCTTGTGCCACAGGGAGCGCAGCACCAGCACCTCGCGCTCCACGTACTTGGTGATGCCATGCTCCCCCCGCGGTATCAGCTTCACCGCCACCAGGTTCCGCGATGCGTCCTTGATCCTCAGGTCCGTGGCCAGCACGACCAGGCCGAAGGACCCCTCGCCCAGAATGCCCGCGAATTGGAACCAATACGGCAGCCGGAAATCCTTCTGCATGCCTGGGCGACGCGCGCCGCCCCCTCGTGGGGGCGGGGCTGCGACTGATTGGCTCCCTGTTTGGACTTTAGGTTGGCAGCGTCCCCGGCGGCTGGCGGTGGCGGGGAGGGCCGGGAGAAAGAGGTCCAGAGGAGAGGAGGCGGAGCCAAAAGGGGGGGGGAGGCGTGTGTGGGTGGGGGTGGGGGTCGGAAGGGGTGTGCAGAGTCGAAGATGCCGTGGTTCTCGTGACATCAGCTCCGCCCGTCGTCGGCGGCGGGGGCGTCCGGCCCCAAGGGGGAAGGGCACCTCGGCGGACGGGCCGACGTGACGGCCTCGAATGCCGCGATCACCGTCATCATCGGGAGATCTTATGCATCGAGGCGAGGAGTCAGCGGCCAGCTCCCCGTTGCGCCCGAGCACAGCAATCGTCTGTGATGTGCTGCATGAGAAGGCATGAAATTAGTCGCTGTGTCTTTCCGTGAAGACCTGCTCGTTTCGTCACCCAAACCGTAAACCACTGACGCGCTGACCCGCGTTGGCCTTGTCAGCTGATGAAGAAGGGATGTTCACGGAAGGACAGATCTGTCCCTCTAGAGGGACTAATATATACTCTCCATGAAAGCCTGAACTTGGGAAGGTATTGCTGCAATCCGACCACCGTTGTGGGGAACACACAGATTCACAATTGCGGCATCATTAAATTGCCTGAGCTCATTATCAAGAAGTCGGCGTCATCGAGAATTCTTACGCATCGAGGATGGGAGGCATCAGCCCACTATTTCTCCCGGGAAGAACACTGCATTTGATACGTTCCATGGAACTGAAGATATTACAAAAATCAAGCAACTGAGTCGCTGTGCCGTGGGAAGGCACGATCATCGCAGTCATCATTCATTCACCATCATCAATAAATCTTTCAGATCCAGGCGAGGAAGCAGCCAGCAGCTCCCAATTTCGCTCGGGCAAAGCATTGTCCATGATCTGTTCCATTCAATTCCAACAATTTGGAAATGCGATGACTAGTGTCTCCAGACTCCACCAGTGGAAAACAACCTGTTTGCGATGACAATTGTGACGCCATTTGACACAAATTGATGCCATCACAGCTGCTTGTATGCCATCGCAAGCACTGTGATGGCACCACTTTGTGTCGGAATGGCATCGCAGTTGGCATCGCAAACATGCCGTTTTCTGCCAGTGCTGTCGCTGATCGGGTGGAGGCGGCGTATGTGCAGGGCGAGTGCAAAACCACAGCAACAAAATCGAGACTAATGAATATCGCGCTGAAGGTATGGCATTTCCCCGAATGACTAAGGAATGGTGGATAAGGGGAGGGGATCTCACTGCATATCCGGCGCCTTCCAAACCACTAGGAAAAAACAGGCCAGATGACACAGGCTTGACACGGTCTGCTCAAAATCCAACCGTGTACTTTCGGCAAATGTGGTCCCAAAAGTACACATTTAGTACACACATTGACACAGTTTTAACCGTGCATCCTAGGAAACCGTGTGGTCTACACAGTTGTTTGAGGGTACACGGTTGAAACTGTGTCAATGTGTGTATTAACTGTGTACTTTTGGGACCACATTTGCCGAAAGTACACGGTTGGATTTTTAGCAGACCGTGTCAAGACTGTGTCATCTGGCCTGTTTTTTCCTAGTGAACAGAGGCTCTTGAGTGCACTGCACTCAACGCCGAACGTTCAATTCTCGGTCCAACAACGATTAATTCCTGCTGGCTCCTCCGTGCTGCCCACACCCCACTGTTTCCGTTGAATTGTTCAAACGCTTGCACCCTATATGCGATTTGCTTGATGGGCAGAATTAATGCAAAAGAGCCAAAAATGCAAAAGAGTATAAAGCACGAGAGAGAAGTGGATACAAACTGATCATGAGCGAGCGGCACCTCAACAAAGGACTTGCCAATGTTTAGTTTCCCACGCAATCCCCTGTGAAGATGCACTGTCTTATAAAACACGTGCAGGAAAATGAAAGCAAGAGACTTAGCCCTCAATTCTCAGCATAATCAGCCTCTGTTTCCACAGAATGTACTCAGCAGTACGTTAATCTCATTGTTCTGGTATTTGCGCTCATTATCCTGGGGTACCCGAGGACAATGGTAACCGCCATTGTCGGCTAACTTCTTATGTGCATCGTTGTACTCTGTTCCTGGAGGACAAAAAGGAGCGTGTGTGCTCCCACCAAGGAGATACACTTGTCCCCCCGTGGTGGTCTCCAAGTTCAGAGTTTTGGAAACCACACAACCCCAAAACTCGGAGGCACACAAATCACAGTCAGGCGCAGCAATTGGGCCCCAGTGACCCGTCCGCGACAGGAGCCGAGGCGGGGCACCCCATTCCCCGAGGCAGGCATCTTCGAAGGTGAGCGCAGGAGCAGGCGGCGCATGTCTGCTCCCCCCTTCCCCCTCCTCGACATCCGACATCGTTTGGCTGATGGGAGCCGCGGTTCCGCCCCGCGGGTCGGCGCGGCCGTTCGCCTGCCGCCGGCGGTCAATCTGCCAACATATGGCTTTTTGGCGCGAGGGCTGCAAGGCTGCCCGACACGGGGTTGGGGCGTGTGCGCTGGTACCAACGCACCGGTGCGGGACTTGAGCTGCCTAATTGGCAGAGCAGAGTGGCTGGAGGCAAAGCGGTTTCATTGTCAATTTTTGGCAAAAAATGGCAAGGAGGCCGTCAGCCTCCTATTTTGCACGAGCAAGGCAGTTTCAATTATCAGCTCATTGAAATCTAATGTTAAACACAAACGAAGCCTAGCAAACTATTAACTCCTGCTGCCAAGATGATGCGATTGTCGATGATAGTGCATCAGCAGAAGTGTCCTTGCCAGCTGGCGGGCGGGAGCTGAAGCGAAGAGTGCTCTGGCATTGCGATATCGAAAAAGACTTGAGTGGCTTCGAAGGATGTTATCATAGGCCTGGCAGTAGGAGAGAAAATGGCTCTCGTCTTCTGCCACCGGAGGCATGGGGCGTTGCAGGACAAAGCTGTACCATTTCGCACTGTCTCTTCCTGCGTTCCAATTGTGTTGCAGTGGATTCGTGGGTGTATTTTGAAGCCTAAAACGTGATAAAATGGTACCAGCTCGATTTTCTGTATGCCAGAGCATGGTTGCGGGGGAATATTCTGCTCATTTTGCGCTGGGCCCACTGAGCAAAAATTTGACAGCGAACACATCCTCCCCGTGATTCGCTCTGCCCGAAATTTTTCGTTTCCTCCACCGCTACGCCTTTTGCGCTTGGCCTCTCGGCCGATGCGCTTGCGGGGCCGCCGCCATTTTGTCCGCTTGCAATTCTGCCGCAAGGCCAACGCGATGGGGAGGGAAGAAATTCGTCTGTCGGGGACACAGCGCGGCAGAGTGCTCCTTTGCAAAGCCACGTGTCGTTGCTCGCCGCATCAAGCTGTCCTCGGCCAAGGGCGCTCTCAGCGACCCCACTCTTCAATGAAGAGTCCACAATGTGGACTGCAATTTGTGCAGGCCTGCGAGCAGGAGCACCGGCCTGACCTTCGCCGTCGAAGTTCACGAAGGGACTGAGGAACGGCGGTGCGCGAACGGAAATACCAGTTTTGAAATCTGAGCGCCCAGTTTAGCCACAAATGGTATACTCACATTGTTACGACTAGAACTGATTGATTGTTATTAATAACTGAATGCATGAAAAGATGACGAAGCACTAGGAATTGCATTAAGGGTGTTGATGAACGGACTGAATATAAAGGACAGAGCGTCTGTTGTCCCTTTGCCTCGGCTGTAAACCGTTGCCGTGGACTCGAGCGTACAATCCCCATTCAGGGATCGCCACCCCTTGAACCTGTCTGCCTTCGTCAACACATTTTCCCGGTTCGACGACACACTCAGGCTAGAGGAGGATATCCAAAACAGCGACCAGTCCTTCGGCTGTTCGACTACCCGCAACACAGCGCCCACCTCGCCGTCGGCAAGGGCAGCGATGTCGCAGGCAAAAGGTCGATTTTTGAACACTCCCCCTCGTCTATCTGCCTCTCTCTGAACTCCCTGAGTCTCTGTGTACTGCCCCTATGTAAATAGAGTTGTTTTTACGCGAGTTTTCTCGTGAAAACGTACAGAACATTTTTGACGCATAAGGATGCAAAACCAGTTTGATGCACAAATACGCGATTATGTACGTCGTAAGTGACAAACCTTTTCCCAACTTGGAAAATTCTTGGGAACAGGTGTTGGCGATGGAGCAATTTTAAGTCACCATCCAGTGCAAAACGATTTTTCCCACAACATGTCCAAATTAGTTCTGCGCATGAAATTTTAGATATGCAACACCATGGCATTTCTGGTGCCGCACGCCATCAGTGCGTCAGAAAGGCTGTCTGCAATCATTCATTCCTCCAACAACCTCCACGGTTGAACGCGTAGCACCTTTCTTGAGACCTACAGGTGCTTGCGTGCCTCTTGTGCCCAGATGCCTATTATCGGCGACTCCGCTTCCTATCCAGAATTTGGGTGGTGGCTGTGGCAGCCACCGAGGCGGGGGGGAGGATGGCGCGGGTTGAATTGCGTCGCCAATGCAAGGGGTGTCTGTCTGAAACTTGTTGGGCAACTGATGGTTAGAAAAAGTGTAAATTGCAAATGACCATTCAGACCATACTGTAATTGTGTTGCTTATGATTGATCATGCATCTGGGCGTTCAATTTGTCGAAGAGCAGAAGGCGCGGTGTTTGCCACATTCGAAATGACATCGCCCATTTGCGTGAAAATTAAAAATACAGAATTTCAGAACGCGGTTTCTGAGGAAGTCAAAAACTAGGTTCTATTCCAAGTCGCTGAGAGTAGGCTTCTGAAGTTCATCTTCATCTCCATTCTTTATCCATTAACACCAATCGCGCTATGTAAATGTGCCACTCTTTGCGCTGCTTAATCTCTCGAGGAATTCCCAGGCATCGACTTTGCGGAGCGGTGACGAAAGGGCCGGCGAAGTCTGAGAGGGATGAATCTTTTCACGGCGCCCCTCGGCACTGCGTCAGCGAAAG